TCCAAGATGGGACAATGAGAAAGAAAAACAAGCAAAATCCAGGCCGGGTGCAGTGGCTCACGCCTGTAATCCCAGTACTTTGGGAGGCCGAGGCGGGTGGATCACCTGAGGTCAGGAGTTTGAGACCAGCTGGCCAACATGGCAAAACCCCATCTCTACTAAAAATACAAAAATTAGCCAGGCATGGTGGCACGCACTTGTAATCCCAGCTACTCAGGAGGTTAAGGCAGGAGAATCGCTTGAATCCAGGAGGCAGAGGTTGCAGTGAGCCAAGATGGCGCCACTACGCTCCAGCCTGGTCGACACAGTGAGACTTCATCTCGATGATGATAATAATAATAATAATAAAAAAACATACTCTGAGAAGACTCTGATAAGAAAATGGAAAGACAAGCCATTGATCGGGAGAAAATATTTGCAAAACAAGTATCTGATCAAGGATCTGTGCTCAGATCATATAAAGAACTCTCAAATCTCAATGATAAGAAAACAATCCAATTCAAAAGAGGAAAAATATGGCCGGGTGCGGTGGCTCACGCCTGTAATCCCAGCACTTTGGGAGGCCGAGGAGGGCAGATCACTTGAGGTCAGGAGTTCAAGACCAGCCTGATCAATATGGTGAAACCCTGTCTCTACTAAAAATACAAAATTGGCCGGGTGTGGTGGTGCATGCCTGGCAGTCCCAGCTACTCGGGAGCCTGAAGCAGGAGAATTGCTTGAACTCAGGAGGCAGGGGTTTGCAGTGAGGTGAGATCATGCTACTGCATTGCAGCCTGGGCGACAGAGCACAGATTCCATCTCCAAAAAAAAAAAAAAAAAAAAAGGGAAAATATTTCAACAATTTGCCAAAGAATGTATTTGTGAGCTTCAAGTTCAAAAGAGGAAAAATATGGCCGGGTGCGGTGGCTCACGCCTGTAAGATTCCATCTCCAAAAAAAAAAAAAAAAAAAAAAGGGAAAATATTTCAACAATTTGCCAAAGAATGTATTTGTGAGCTTCAAGTCAGTGGCAAGTAACAGAACAAACAAACAGAAAGGAATATATATGATGGCTAATGAGCACACCATTAGCTGTTAGGGAAATGCAAATTAAAACCGCAGTGAAACACCAGTATGCACCTATCAAAATAGCTTTAGCAAAAAAACTGGCCAGGCACAGTGGCTCATGCCTGTAATCCCAGCACTTTGGGAGGCTGAGGCAGGAAGATTGCTTGAACCCAGGCATTCGAGACCAACCAGAGACCCTTATTGCTACAAAAATTAGCTGGGTGTGGTGGTTGTTAGGGAGGCTGGGATGGGAAGATCGCTTGTGCCCGGGAGGTGGAGGTTGCAGTGAGCCATGATCCCGCCACTACACTTCAGCCTGGGCAACCGAGCAAGACCTTGTCTCCAGTAAATAAATAAATCCCTGTTGATGCTAATCACTGGAGAAGATGTGGGGCAACAGAGGGTCACCTGTTGCTGGGAAGAATGGAAAAAGCCCTTTCGGCTGGCATGGTGGCTCACGCCTGTAATCCCAGCACTTTGGGAGGCTGAGGCAGGCAGATCACCTGAGGTCAGGGGTTTGAGACCAGCCTGGCCAACATGGTGAAACCCCGTCTCTACTAAAAATTACAAAAATTAGCTGGATGTGGTGGCAGGTGCCTGTAATTCCAGCTACTCAGGAGGCTGAGGCAGGAGAATCGCTTGAACCCGGAAGGTGGAAGTTGCAGTGAGCCGAGATTATACCACTGCAGTCCAGCCTGAGGGATAAGAGCTAGACTTCGTCACAAAAACAAAAAACAAAACAAAACAAAAAAACTTGCGTGCAATGTTCATAGCAGCTTCACTCATAATAAGCCCAGAGAGGAAATAATCCAAATGCTTATCAACTGATGAATAAATAAAATACAGTTTATACGTAACATAAAATATTATTGGACCATAAAAAAGAATGAAACTCTAACACATGCTACAGTGTGCTTGAACCTTGACAATGTGATGCTCAGGAAGAAACCAGACACAAGAGGCCACATACTGTAGATTCCATTTCCATGAAATGCCCAGAATAGACAAATCCATAGAAACAGAACGGAGATTGGTGGTTACCAGGGCTCGGCGGGAGGGGATGTGAGGATTGGGAGGTGATGGTTTATAGGTCTAGAGTTTCTTGTTGGATGATGATAATGTTCTTTATTTTTTATTTTTATTTTTATTTTTGAGACAAGGTCTCGCTCTATCGCCAAGGCTGGAGTGCAGTGGCACACTCTTGGCTCACTGTAACCTCCATCTCCTGGGTTCCAAGTGATTCTCCTGCCTCAGCCTGTGGAGTACTGGGATTACAGGTGTGTGCCACCATGCCTGGCTAGTCGTTGTATTTTAGTAGAGACGGGGCTTCACCATGTTGGCCAGGCTAGTCTCGAACTCCCGACCTCAAGTGATCCACCTGCCTTGGCCTCCAAACTGCTGAGATTGCAGGCATGAGCCACATTGCCCGGCCCACTCAGTGTTTTATTTTTGAGACAGAGTCTCTGCCACCCAGGCTGGAGTGCAGTGGGGTGAACACATCTCACTACAACCTCCACCTCCCAGGCTCAGGCGATCCTCCCACCTCAGACTCCCAAGTAGCTGGGACTACAGGCGTGCACTATGATGCCTGGCTAATTTTTGTATGTTTTGAAGAGAGGGGGTCTTGCCATGTTGGCCAGGCCGGCCTAGGCTCAAGAGATCTTCCTGCCTCGGCTTCCCAAAGTGTTGGGATTATGGGTGTGAGCCACTGTACTCAGCTGAAAATATTCTAAAATTGATTGTGGTAATGGATGACTACATGCTATTGAACATGGCAAAGTCATTGAATTGTACCCTTTTTCTTTTTGTTGAGATAAGGTCTCACTCTGTTGCCCAGGCTGAAGTGCAGTGGTGTGATCACAGCTCACTGCAGCCTCAGCCTCTCCAGCTAAAGTGATCCTCCTGCCTCAGCCTCCCGAGTAGCTGGGACTACAGGCACAAAGCACCATGCCTGGTTATTTTATTTTATTTTGTAGAGATGCAGTCTTGCTATGTTGCCCAGGCTGGCCTTGAACTCTTGGCCTCAAGTGATCCTCCTATTTCAGCCTCCCAAAGTGTTGAGGTTACAGGCATGAGCCACTATGGCCCGCCTACCCTCTACTTTTCTTCACAGCATTTATTGCCACCAGTCATAGTGTCATTTTTTTTTTCATAGTGTCATATTTTTATTTGTTGATTTATTCTCTCGGTTCCCCCACTACAATGTGAGCTTCATAAAGGCAGACATTTCAGTCTGTCTGGAGAGTTGCAGCTTTCTTTGTTCTTAGAACAGTGCAGGGCACATAATATGTGCTTAATAAATACTTGTTGGAGGAGGTGGGGAAGAGAGGAGAAAAAAGGGAAGGAAGAGTTTTTGTTATTTCCCTTTGGTCATTTAAATGCTACTTATTGACTGGGCTCACGCCTGTAATCCCGGCACTTCGGGAGGCTGAGGCAGACAGAGCATGAGGTGAAGAGATAGACACCATCCTGGCCAACATGGTGAAACTTCGTCTCTACTAAAAATACAAAAATTAGCTGGGCATGGTGGCGCATTCCTGTAGTCCCAGATACTCGGGAGGCTGAGGCAGGAGAATCGCTTGAACCTGGGAGGCGGAGGTGGCAGTGAGCTGAGATCACGCCACTGCACTCCAACCTGGGCAACAGAACAAGACTCTGTCTCAAAAAAAAAAAAAAAAAAAAATTCTGGGCTCGGTGGCTCCCGCCTGTAATCCCAACACTTTGGGAGGCTGAGGCTGGTGGATCATGAGGTCAGGAGTTCAAGACCAGCCTGACCAAGATGGTGAAACCCCGTCTCTACTAAAAATACAAAAAAAAAAAAAAAAAAAGTAGCCACAGGTGGTGGTGGGCACCTGTGATCCCAGCTACTCAGGAGGCTGAGGCAGAGAATTGCTTGAACCTGGGAGGCGGAGGTTTCAGTGAGCCGAGATCACGCCACTACACTCCAGCCTGGGCCACAGAGCAAGACTCCGTCACCAAAAAAAAAAAAAAAAAAAAATAGACTGGGGGTTTGCCGTTTTGCCCAGGCTGGTCTCAAACTCAAACACTCAAATTGTATATAATTCATCACTTTAAAGTATACAATTTAGCTGGGTGCGGTGGTTCACGCCTGTAATTCCAGCACTTTGGGAGGCTGAGGTAGGAAGATTGCTTGAGCCCAGGAGTTCAAGACCAGCCTGGGCAACATGATGAAACCCCGTCTCTATAAAAGTTAGCTAGGTGTGGTGGTGCACACCTGTGGTTCCAGCTACTCAGGAGGCTGAGGTGGGCAGATCACTTGAGTCCAGGAGGTCGAGGCTGCAATGAGCTGAGATTGTACCACCACATTGCAGCCTGGAGGACAGAGCAAGACCTCCAAAAATAAAAAAAAAGGTATACAATTAGGTGGTGACCAGCACCTGTAGTCCCAGCACTTTGGGAGGATGGGAAGATTGATGAGCTGATATTGCACCACTGCACCCCCAGCCTGAGTGACAGAGCAAGACCTTGTCTCAAAAAATAAGAATAAAAATGGTCAGGTGTGGCAGTTCATGCCTGTAATCCCAGCACTTTGGGAGGCCAAGGCGGAAAGATCTCTTGAGATCAGGAGTTCAAGACCAGCCTGGGCAACGTCGCGAGACCCCATCTCTACAAAAAAGAAAAGAAAACAGAAGAGAAGAGAAGAGAAGAAAAGATAAAAGAAAAGTAGAGGGTAAAGAGGACAGGGAGGGACAGAACGAGGGCCCTATTTCAGCCAGGGAGGTCAGGGAAGGCGAAGTGTTGAGAACTGACCTGGAGGAGAGAGGCTGGGCGCCGGGTGGGTATCCCTGGGAGGCTACTTCTGGCAGGGGCACAGTTCTGAACAAACCCGGCCCCGCTTTTCCTCCTCCCCTCTTCCTCGATGTGCCTTTCCCGTCCTCCGCCGCACTCCCTCCCCACGCTCCCCAGCCCCGGACACCCGCAGCCCGCAGGTACCTGACTTGGGGTAGGTGATGATAAAGATGTCGTCATCCCGCACATCTTGGGTGTTCTCCGCCAAGCTGATGCTCTCGGGAGAGTACAGGCCGACGGGAAAGGGGACGCCCTTGTACCGGAAGTATTCACCTGGCAACTTCTGGCTGTGGAAGGGTGGGGGAGACGCCATGAGGGAGAGCAGGGAGGTGGGTGCCAGGGTTCTCAGGGCGGCGCCACTCGGACCCTGGCAAGGAACTTCCTCCTCAGAGCCTTGGTCCCTCTTCTGTAAAGTGGTGACACTGTCCCTATAAACCTTATAAAGCTGGTCGGGCACAGTGGCGCACGCTTGTAATTCCAGCACTTTGGGAGGCGGAGGCAGGTGGATCCCCTGAGGTCAGGAGTTCGAGACCAGCCTGGCCAACATGGTGAAACCCCGTCTCTACTAAAAGGACACAAATTAGCTGGGCGTGGTGCCAGGTGCCTGTAATCCCAGTTACTCCGGAGGCTGAGGCAGGAGAATCGCTTGAACCCAGGAGGCAGAGGTTGCAGTGAGCTGAGATCGCGGTGCCATTGCACTCCAGTTTGGGTGACAAGAGCAAAACTCCATCTCAAAAATAAAATAAAATAAAATAAAAATAATAAAAATAAAATATTTTTAAAAAATTTTTTAAAATAAAAAGATACTGGGTGAGGTGGCTCACGCCTGTTGTCCCAGCACTTTGGGAGGTCAAGGCGGGTGGATCACGAGATCAGGAGGTTGAGGTTGCAGTTAGCTGACATAGTGCCACTGCACTCCAGCTTGGGCAACAGAGTGAGACTTCATCTCAAAAAGAAAAACAAAAGCAAACAAAAAAATTAGCCGGGTGTGGTGGTGGGCACCTGCAGTCCCAGCTACTTGGGAGGCTGAGGCAGGAGAATTGCTTGAATCCAAGAGGTGGAGGTTGCAGTGAGCCGAGATTGCGTCACTGCACTCCAGCCCAGGGGACAGAGCAAGACTCTGTCTCAAAAAAAAAAAAAAAAAAAAAAAGATTAAAACAGAGCCTAGCTCATAGTCTGCATTCCGTAACTTTGAGCTAAAATTATTATGATTATTTCATGCAGTAGCAGGCACCACGGTGCCTTATGTGAACTCAGAGGAGGGCCTGCTTAGCACAGCCTTGCGCACACAGTAGGCCTTCAATAAACTGCAGTTACTTTGTTCAGTGATGTCATCAGTTATCCCAAAGGTTGAGCGTGGGCGTGGAATTAGTGATGATGTCATCGGTTACCAGGCAGATTTAGTCCAGTGGGCGGATGCGGTGAGGTAATCAGTTTTCAGGAGTATTAGCTACCGAGCGCCTGCTGGGCCTTGGCTGGGCTTCCATAGGTCCTACTTGCCCTTTCTGTGCCTTGGGCAGTGGATCTCACTTCTTTGATCCTCAGTTTCCTCATCTGTCACGTGAGGATAAGAGCAATCTCTGCCTTGAGGTTTTAATCCTACTTGGGGATTCAACGGGATAATATATTTTAAGTGCCTGGCTCCCGATACATTTATCAGGAAACGGAAGCTCTGTTTAACATTATTTTAGTCGTTGATCTGGCCAATAGCTCCTTGAGGGAGAAAGCTCCTTCCCAGCTTACAGGAGAGGAAAACCCAGATGCCAACAAGACCCTGTGCCCTTGGAGAAGCCCTGAAGGAATAAATGAATGAATGGGAGGGCATCTTGCTCATTCCTCTTGGCACCTACAATCTCCAAATCAGGGGTCCCACCACCACTCCCCGGAGGCCAGGGTGGAGCCCACAGTGCTGGGACATGTTGGTGTTCAACCAGTGTTTGATTGAGTGAGTGTAGGAAGGAAGGAAGGAAGGAAGGGGTTTACCAGGACAAAAGGAAAGTCAAAGACACTTATGGCTTTCAGCTGCTGTAGCAGTTCTCAGCCCTGGGTGCTGCGGACGCTTTGAAAACTCCCCAGCGGCTGGGCGCAGTGGCTCGCACCTGTAGTCCCAGCACTTTGGGAGGCCATGACAGGAGGATTACTTGAGGACAGGAGTTCGAGACCAGCATGAGCAACATAGTGAGAACACTCTCTCTGTGCAAAAATTAAAAATTAGCTGAGTGTGGTGGCATACACGTGTAGTCCCAGCTACTTGGGAGTCTGAGGCAGGAGGATCAGTTGAGCCAGGAGTTTAGGCTGCAGTGAGCTGAGATTGCGCCACTGCACTCCAGCCTGGGTGACAGAGACCCTGCCTCTAGAAACAAACGTACAAACAAACCAATTGTTGTGCAGTGGGTGCAGTAGAATCAGGCTCTTGCTGTAGGTTCCAGTGCTACAGAGAGGACATGGAGGTTCAAGGACGGAAGCGATTTGGCTGTGGCCACACAAGAACTGAACAGAGCTGGGATTTGAACCCAAGCTGCGGTGGCCTCTCAGCCCTGTAGACTCAGGCCCTCCTTCCCCATGAACCCCACAGTCAAGACCTCCAAATGCACCGAGCACTAGTCCCACCTCTGGGCCCCTGGAGCTGCTGTTCCCGCTCCTGGAAATGCCGCCCTGACCCTGCCACTCTCTGGCCCTAAGCATTGAGCCCGCCAAGGAGCATCCCCGACACCCGCCCAAGTGCCTATGTGGCTGCATCCTCGAATTCCTAAAACAGGTGCCCTGCGCCTGCTGTCCACCTTGTAGAACAAATCTGCCCCCGGGGCAACCTTCTCTATGCCTGGGTCACAGGCCTGTTTGTTCCCACAGAACACATCCAGGGCCTGACATGCAATATCGCTCGATTCGAGTAGAGGAATGAAGGGGACAATTGAGCCAGCGAGAGGCTGGGGGCAGGGACAGCAGACAGAGCTCCGGGTTGGTGGCCACAGCAGGCAGGTGATCGCTGGGAACGACTCAGCCTCCTGGACGGCAAATGGCTCTCCCTGCAAGCCCCCTGGACATGTGAACTTTTTTTTTTTTTTTGAGATGGAGTCCCGCTCTGTCACCAGGCTAGAGTACAGTGACATGATCTCGGCTCACCGCAACCTCCACCTTCCAGGTTCAAGCGATTCTCCTGCCTCAGACTCCTGAATAGCTGTGACTACAGGTGCCTGTCATCATGCCCAGCTGATTTCTGTATTTTTAGTAGAGACGGGGTTTCACCATGTTGGCCAGGCTGGTCTCAAACTCCTGACCTCAGGTGATCCACCCACCTCGGCCTCCCAAAGTGCTGGAATTCCAGGTGTGAGCCACCACACCCGGCAGACATGCAACTCTTTTGTTTTTGTTTTTGTTTTTGTTTTTGAGACGGAGTCTCGCTCTGTTGCCCAGGCTGAAGTACAGTGGCCGGATCTCAGCTCACTGCAAGCTCCACCTCCCGGGTTCACACCATTCTCCTGCCTCAGCCTCCCAAGTAGCTGGGACTACAGGCGCCCGCCACCTTGCTTGGCTATTTTTTTGTATTTTTTAGTAGAGACGGGGTTTCACTGTGTTAGCCAGGATGGTTTTGATCTCCTGACCTCGTGATCCACCCGTCTCGGCCTCCCAAAGTGCTGGGACTACAGGCTTGAGCCACTGCGCCCGGCCAGACATGCAACTCTTAAAGGCCCAACCTCCCAGGCCTCCTGCCTCCCTCCTCCACGGCCTACCAGGCCCCGGTTCCCTCTCTGTCCCTGCGTTCCTGCCCACCTCAGGCCTTCTCCTTTCCCTGTGGGCCCTGGACTCAGCCTCCTCCAGGTCTTCTTTGCTGCCCCTCCTCTGCTCCCAGCTATCCTGTGGCGCCTCGGTGCCTTCAGGTCAAACCCTAGGTCACTGCCTTCTCTGGCCTCCTTCCTGCAGACACCAGCTCTAGGCACGCCCATTTTCCGCTCTCTGAGTGCCTTTCCCACCTCCTCCATCCACCTCGACACAGGTCAGATGTCACCCTCCTTTTTTTTTTTTTTTTTTTCTGAGACAGAGTCTCACTCTGTTGCCCAGGCTATAGTGCAGTAGTGTAATCTCGGCTCACTGCAACCTCCGCCTTCCTGGGTTCACACCGTTCTCCTGCCTCAGGCTCCCTACTAGCTAGGACTACAGGTGTGTGCCACCATGCCTGGCTAATTTTTGTATTTTTAGTAGAGATGGGGTTTCACCGTGTTAGCCAGGATGGTCTCGATCCCCTGACCTCGTGATCCGCTCGCCTTGGCCTCCCAAAGTGCTAGGATTACAGGCGTGAGTCACCGCTCCTGGCACAGATGTCACCCTCTAAATACAGACCTTCTTGACCAATAGCCTCCTTGCCCCAGGAGATGGGGACACAGCCTCCTCAAACCTCTGAATTTCCTCTGCCCATCCCCCTCCAATCCCAGGAAAGGGCCTGGCACTAGCATGGAAGCCACCTGTACAGAAACTCTCTGCCAAGAACATGCACGATCCTAGACTTCTCCCAGAACCTCACGAAGTGGGTAGTGAGAGGACCACTTTATGCTAGAAGAAATGGAGGCCCAGAGAGGTTAATATAGTCCCCCAAGGTCACACAGCAGCCATTCGTTTTCATTAAATACAAGTACAGCTGGGCGCAGTGGCTCACGCCTCTTGTCCTCCCCTTTTTCAAGCCTTTGCTCCAAATGTCACCCCTTATCATGAGGGCTACCCCGGAGCATCCTGTTTACAGCTAGACCCCCTGCACCCTCTTCCCCTGCTCTGCCTACCATCACACCTGTCACTCCTGAGCTGCTCTACAGTTGACATATGACACTGATGGTTTACTGACCATCTTCTCCGCTTGCGTGTAAGCTCCATGAGCCTGGGAATTTAAACAAATTTGGGTTGTTTTTTTTTTGTTCTGTCTTGTTTGCCAATGTACCTAAAGCACTCTCAGCAGAGCCTGGCACCAGGGAGGTGCTTGTCAATATTTATTGAAGGACCCAGGCAGGAGGATCACTTGAAGCCAGGAATTCAAGACTCAGCCTGGGCAAGCTGGGTGCAGTGGCTCATGCCTGTAATCCCAGCACTTTGGGAGGCTGAGGTGGGCGAATCACCTGAGGTCAACAGTTTGAGACCAGCCTGGCCAACATGGTGAAACCCCGTCTCTAATAAATACAAAAATTAGCTGGGTGTGGTGGTGCGCGCCTGTAATCCTAGCTATTCGGGAGGCTGAGGCAGGAGAATCACTTGAACCTGGGAGGTGGAGGTTGCAGTGAACCCAGATCACACCATTGCACTC